CAAAACATCTCAGGCAGTAGCCAACACCATTACATGAACTGCCCGTGATAGCAAAACCCAGCAATGTGTGTTTCTTCAAAGAGGAAGATCACCTTTCCTCTTACACCCTACATCCTAGGTTGAAGCATGGGATCTATATTATAATGACAATTAACTTACAAAATCCTCAGCCTTAAAATGCTTGGGTACTTCATTGTCTTCCTGTTTCCTAGTTCCATTAGCAGGTACACTGTTTTCATGCAGCCCTTGGCTTCTTCCACAATAGAAAGTGCTGGTACGAGTACGGGAACCTCCGCCATGGTATCCCTCGCGATGGTTTGGAGTTTCTGGAATGTTTCTGCCTTGTGAACGCCAACTATTCCTCTCTTTTCTCCCCAAATGCCCTTAAGATTTTTAAATTTTAAAGAAATGCAATTACAAACAATTTTAAAATAATGTTCTACTTTCGCAGAATTGTTAAAGAAGCCAAGTCAGGAGCTCCATATTGCAGGATTCGATAGCATAGTAAACAAGTTTTCATTCACATCAGCAGCAGGCAAGAATATTACAAAACAGTGCCAGAGAGAGGATAGTCAGCCAGCTTTAAAACAAGTCAACCTCCTTTTCTGGCTGCTCATTTAAATGCTGTTGGCTAGAGTATTAAGTCAACACTCTTATTACTCTCAAGAGCGATTATACCTGGAATCACATTACTTTAACCAACCCTTAGTGCTCACATCCTCTCCCAGATCCATCTTTCCATTACCTCTATTTTATTGCAGAAAGAGAATTTAGCATAGAAGAGCTATCAACATCAGACTTCTTTTCCAGCTAGACTGCTACAAAGCAATGATGCAAACGTACTCAAGGTGTTCCATAAATTATACCTGCATTAGTCCATCCGATGTTAGCATCAAACTGATCTGAAGAGTTTTGTTCCCTGCAATTTGCTTCATAACGATTCTCTGCCCATGGAAATTTTTCAGTACGTTTCTCAAAGTTCAGTGATGACTGTAAAGAAGCACAAGTGGTAGACCTGAGATATCTGATTAACAACCAGACTGAATCATAGGAACTGCAACATGCATATTATTCACCATATATACAAGTCATTTTTAAAAGAACTTTCAATGACAGACAATGCAGCAGGTCCTCAAGTATGAGCATGTTTGGAGCTATGTCTGAGTGGAAGCTGTCTCTTCTGCTCCAGGCAAACAAAACAGTACTGGTGACTATGTTTGTGACATAAGGTAAAAACTGCAAGTGTCTATTTTATTTTGGCAGCTGAACAGAGTGCAAGTGACATGTATTTTTTCCTCTGCTGCAACACAAAAAAGGTAAGAAAGGGCAGAAGATGCAATTTGGAATGCAGAAAGAAGTCTGGAATCTTACTTTGGACAGCCAGAGACTGCACATGTGCATTCCATAGAAAGCAAGGAGTCACATTCACCAGAGGCAGCTGTACACTTACTAACACAAACATACCGAGCTGCGAAATACAGAGTCAGAAGTGTACAGATGCACAGAGATACTTCAAATTTTCAGCTTTCAGTAGACATTGTAGAAATTTTAAGCAAATAAATCTTTAATGTATCAGTAGGAAGTCATTTAGAAACTACAACCTTATCTTGAGAACAGCACTCAGAAATCAAACCACATCCTGACTAGAACTCATGAGTAAGGGAATTAAATGAAAATAGATCTTGTCTTACACAGCATCTGTCTTCGCTGCAAATTCTGTCTGGTTGTGCGGCTTTAACACTCACCATTTCTTTCACTGCTACATGTTAAAAATTCAGAACTAAGTTTTCCTCCCGCTGAAGTAGTGTTGAGCCTTCCTGCTGTTCACACACACCTCTCTCAGTGAGAGACAGCAGAGGGCTGCACCTCACGCAGCACCTCCCTGGCAACGGCCAGCTCTGATGCAAGCAAAGCAAACCCCCTTCCCTCCCAGCAGTCTTCATGTGTGCATGTGCATCCACTGTGCTGCACATGCACCTCAGATTCAACACATCCCAGGGCCACATGAGCTAGAAATGCATAAATGGGTCACCGGGTGGAAGCATGATGGTTGACAAAAAACTCAACAGTCCAGAAAGCCAACTGTTTCCTGGGCTGGATCCAAAGGAGTGTGGCCAGCAGGTCAAACGAGGTGATTCTCCCCCTCTACTCTGCTCTCATGAGACCCCACCTGGAATACTGCGTGCAGTTCTGGTGCCCTCAACATAAACAGGACATGGAACTGTTGGAGCAAGTCCAGAGGAGGCCACAAAGCTGGTAAGAAGACTGGAGCACCTTCTCTACGAAGATAGGCTGAGAAAGTTGGGGCTGTTCAGCCTGAAGAAGATAAATCCAGGTGAAACCACATAGCAACTCTGCAGTAGGGAAGCTGCAGGGACCCTTCATCAGGAACTGTTGTGACAAGACAAAGAGTAATGGGTTCAAACTGAAAGAGTCTAGGTTTAGATTGGATATTAGGAAGGAATTCTTTACTGTGAGGGTGGTGAGGCACTGGCACAGGTTGCCCAGAGAAGCTGTGGACGCCCCACCCCTGGAAGTGTTCAAGGCCAGGTTGGATGGGCCTTTGAGCAACCCAGTCTAGTGGCAGGCGTCCCTGCCCATGGCAAAGGGGTTGGAACTAGATGATCTTTAAGACGCCTTCCAACCCAAGCCAGTCTATGACACTATGATTCCAGAGAGTATCAACTTTACTGCAGCCAAAGTACGAACTCCACTGCCTCAAGCTCACTCCCTCTCCAAGCCAAGTAACATTCAGAAGAAAAAGTACAGTAGTAAAGGTGTATGTCTGAAAATGAAAGCCCCGAGTTTATTTCAACAGTTATTATCACTCTGGTAATATCTAATCAACCTATATTAATATTTAAAGTACTCCACTGATCAAAGTGAGCAGGGGAAAAAAAACCCACACGCACAGAAGAAAGGAAACAAACTAATAGGTTTAACTACTTTGGAAAACATATTGAAGAAAATTGTTTCCTCCTCATCTCCCTAGAGAGACAATCACATACACAGAAAAGATACTGTTAGGGTTTGGTAGGAGCTCATCTGTTGCTTTAAGTAATTTTCCCCCA